CGCTTCCATTTCCATCGCAATTCGAGAAATCCACTCTATATCCAATTCATACATTTATATAGGAGCACTATCAATTGTCGACTGGCATTATGAGCAGCTTTGCCTCACACCGAGGTCGTTCTTCATGATTTTTCCGACTTTCAGACCTCGTCCGCGACTTGGCCCATCTGTAGCCGTTATTCGCTTTTCTTGTTCGGCAGGTAGCCATACAGGAGACTCCACACGACAGATTAGAGGCTGGTTCCATGTAGTTGACTCATAGCCAACCCATTTCACCTCAAATTCGCGCACAGGTTACAGGTCTGTCCGTGCTGGTTAACATTGGCGTTTTGTCGTTCAAAATCGCTTCCACCTAAAATTCACCGGCAACTTCATCTGACTCCCAGCTGTCTTCAGGCAACAACTCTTCGTCGAAGTCAATTCTCTCTTTCTCAGCAACATCTCGAGCTAGTCGTGTTTTCGGCCGATCACAAAACTCATTCACAGCCTTCAGTCGAGAGACGTGCACTACTGGGTAGAACCGATACCCGCTTTTATCTGGTAACTCGAGTTCGTACGCGAACTCTTCGACATTCAGCTTCACTCTGAATTGACCATGCCATCAGTGAGTCAGCTTCTTAACTAATCCTGGCTTCACTCATTCCATATACAGCCAAACTCGGCTTTCAGGTCGAAATAGAGACTTGGGTCCAAGTCGTCGTCGGACGAGCCATCGTTCACACTTTTTGGTAACTCGGCTTGCTTATTACGGCTGAGCTTGTCGTTATGAATTCTAGCACGTCGGACCTATCCGCAGCTTGGTATTCCTTTGTCATCGCGAGAGCAATCTGCTGCTGGCGGTTGATTTCTCGTCGCCAGGATAGTGCCTCAGTCTGCTTACCAACACCTCGCTTCATAGAGGTCGTCATTGCTCGTAGCGTCGTATGGGCATCCCATCCATGCACCAAATAAAATGACGTCTCATTGCTGGTCATATCATAAGTGTTGTTGATCGCAAAGACTAGTCGCTCGGCGATCTCATCTCAGTCTTGCTGCAACGGATCTTCAACGTAGACTTTGACTGACGGCATCACTGTCTTCACCGATCGCTCTTGCTGTCCATTTGCTTGTGGGCGATAGCTCAGGGTCGACCACGACCGCGCTTCTATTAATTCAGCGAAGGCCTGGAAGACCTCGCTTATAAAGCGTGGGTCTCGGTCGTGACGAATAAGAGACGGAGCACCAAATCGTCTATAGATGCATTCCTCGAACACCTTGGCCACCGTCAGGGCATCGGTATCCGACATCGCTTTAGCGATCACAAATCACTTTAGCAATCACAAACCCAGTAAACGAGCAATGCCATAACCACAGGGCAGTGTTCCCTCGACGAGTTCTCGGCAGAGAGATCACAAAGTCCATTGGCATTACCTTGAATGGTCGCTCTGCGAGCACATTGCCAGGTGAGTAGCCCTTGAGCTGCGGCTAGCTCTTACTCAAGCTGCAGTCGAGGCATGATTTCACATGTTTCTCTACATCTGCGTAGAGGCCGATTCAGTAGTAGTCGTGTTTTACTCTATGATAAGAGCGGACGACACCTTGGTGTCCTCCTTCAATGGAATCATGACAGTTGTGTAGCACTTCTTGGATCATTGTGGTTGACACCACGAGTCTCAAGACATCTCTGGCAGGTTTTCCTCGACCTTGCTTCTACTCACACCCATGTAATACAGGACATTGTCGCTTGACAGCACAATGTTGCCCGCCCATTTCCAGGCCTCTCTAGCCTCTTTGTAATCATCACGGTGGTTTCGCCTATCAGGACAGTTTTCAGGTTCGACCACCTCAGCTCCTCGTCCTGGGCCTGGGCGATACGGCGCCTTCGCTCTTCTTGGACTGTAACTGTGTCAATGTCATCGGCTGTTGATTTGTATCGGACCTCAGCTTTTTGTCGTTGCGCATTGCTGAGTTCTCGGTTGCTGCCTCAGTTGCCCCAGCAGTAGTAGTCCTTCAGGAACTTCGTCTTCAAACTGCACTCTTTTCTTGTTGGACTTGGTCTGACTTCGAGTTGTAGCTGGGACTTCAGCGCTTTCTTGGTGCGCAAAGGTCTTGCGTTGTAGCAGGATATCGCTGTCCATAGCAGGGATGTGACGTGTCTATCCGTCTAGAATTTGAAAAAATAACGGAACCCGTGTTTTCGACCTTGATGTCGTCTGACGACGGCTCATAGATCATTTCTTGGATTCTGTTCAACTCCTTGAGCTCAGCCTTACGGTGGTCATTGAGCACCACCTTTGACACCTTCGACTCCAATGCTTCACGAGCGAGCGAGTCAGCCGCTGCGTTGTACTCACGCACCACATGCAGATATCGGACTGACTTGAGCTCGGTGTCGGTTCAGGAGTGTCATCAGCGAATCCTTCCGACATGCAATCACCCCTAGTGATTGTTGGATTGCCAACCTCGAGTCTCCAACGATGCCTTAGTCTTCAACACGATGTTCCATGACTGCGATCACCCCATGGTTCATGCCGCTGTGCCATATTCACCGTAGTTTTCTCGAGGTAGGCATTCGCAGCGATCACTATCTGCCACTCCGGAAGCTTCCACGCTATCCATGAGCAGCTACCGTAGCCACCATTCTTCTCTGTCTTAGCGCACCATCAAATGAGACCACAAATCCTTCATAGTCATGTGGTAGCTGAGCGTACAGTAGACTTGGGTCCAACCAAGTACTCGGTGAACCTTTAGTAGGTGGTGCAACGAGTGCTAGCGAGTCGTCCAAGTCCACGAAGTTAGTGATCGTTGACTGAAGCAATTGAGTAAATACGCAATCTTTCTCCCTAACTCACTGCACTTTCTATTGCCATGGTGACAACAGCACCGCAAACTGCATTGCTCGACCGAAAAGCGACTTAGATTTGTGAACTCACCTAAGTGTAGAGAATCGGGTGTACACATGCAGTGTCTTTCCCGC